CAGTTGCCTTGGGGACACTTGTTCTTGTCTGGAGACAAAAAATATTCAGAAATGAGTCAGTTGCTTTGGGGACACTCATTCTTGACTGGAGACAAAAAACATTCATGACCTGTCAGGTGCAACTCAAAGAGTGGGGAAGGAATAACTCAAAACATGTGAGGTAGGCAATTGCTTTGAACATCACACAAACATGAAAGGCCCTCAAGCTCTTGTAGTTGCACGTCATTAAAATTTATTTATTAAAAATCAATGTATTAATGCACTTTTCCTACAAAGGGGGCCAAAGCACCAGCTGGGGGCATATCACAAGAACAATAGCTAATTTTGTTTGGTGCGGTTTTTGCTAATGGCGTTGGGGCAACTGTTTGCTAGCAGGGGAACCCTACCCCTCCGGCACTTAACCACGGGCTTGATTTCACACAAAAGTCACAATACATTGCCACTAGTGGCATCCCTGCCCACTAGGCCGGTAAATATTCCAAAACCATCATAACTCCCAGGAGAGTATACAGATGGTTGCAGCCAATTCAAACAAAAGCTAGGTAGAAATGTTCCAATGTAATATTTGCCATTTACTTGACGGAAAGTGCTATAATTATGCATTACCATTACTTTACTTAATGTGCAAATAGGGGCATGTGCCATAATTATTTCTTCTTTGAAGACATGCAAATAACGATGGATCTCAGAGTCTTCCTATTTGTTCAGGCCCTGGATAGAGGCAAAATTTCAATGTCGTAAACAGCTTATAAACTCGGCATTTACTTGTCATGGCTCTAAACATACAAAGTATCATTTGGGCAGGGTAAAAGCAAGTTGTGTTAATAGTCATCATTGTTATGAAACTTCTCATTTTTTCCTTCCTGAGGGTTCCAAAGAGTGCTATCAATGCCAACTTTCAGGTGTTATTCCCTTACCTACACACTTTCTCCCGTCTTCCCCAAGCATGAAACCCAGCGGGCAGAGACACTGATAGCCGCCGTAGTAGTTGTTGCACTGGAACGTGCAGCGGGTTGGGTCCTGGCATTCATCGATATCTGCATCATGCAAATACCAAAAGGTCCAAGTTCAAATGGTTACCAGGGGTTAAAGGTCACAACACTTTTATCCATTTCCTGTGATGTGCTGTGAACACTGCCCATGACCTTGCATTGTCCATGGTAATGCACTCTAAATGAGAACATCCGCCCCACGTTTCCACTCTTAGATACCTTACTCTATAAAATCTTCAAACTGCATCTTAACCCCTTGATGACCAGAATTTCTTTCCAAAAGCCAACTCCAAGAATTCCAGCCTCGCTTGGCCATGAACGCCACCTGCCAAACCGCAAATTCTCGGTTTGTGGCCCTGCGTGCTCTGCACGCTTTGAATTACACAGTAAAAAGACTGATTGTTCGGTGGCATGCGACTCTACTCACGCTTCCACATTCCCATTGCCTCTTTTCAAAGTGGGGACTATTGTTAAGCTGGTGATTATGATGCAAATTCAGTCTTCAATTTCTGGGCTACACACAAAGGCCAATCACCATAGACACAAGAGCCAGGGTCTGCCTTCTTTCATGAGCGTGGGTCGAGAATAATAGCTGAGAAGCAGGCTGAGGATCTCAATTTTTATGGCGGCTCTAGCTGCTTCCCAGCACAAAGGGGTTAAAACTCAAATATTTACCTTAACATAAGCTCATACATTCCTGTCCTTTGTTTTTTGTTGTGGGGCCTTTACTCATGTTGAAACTTACTTATTTGGGGGACTAAAAACTCAGTCTCTGCGGTTGTAACAAAAGAAATTGTCTTCTCAAAGCATTACTGGCCTGGGCATAGACTTACTTTTCTTATAGCACTACATCAGAGCCGTCTATAAGTTTTATCTGTTTTCAATTGTAACTGCCTAAATGTGTTACATCTTGATGTTATGCTCAAGCCACATAAGGATGCTGCTTCTTTGTATAGATTCAACTGAAAGTTTAATAGTCTTGTGAACTAAAAGCCACTGGCACAAATAAACCAGCACCCAAACCCTTGCTTCCATGAGTGGCCTACAGAGTGCTGTCTATATGTTCAGCAAGTAAAGTCCTTTGCGCAAGCCATTTTAGTGTTAAATTTTGATAAGGCAGTGCCAATCAGATTAAAAACACCAGACGCAAGGCCAGCTCAACCATTTCAGTGCACGTTAACTTGGCTCTGATTTTGGACAGAGGGAACTTCAACCTATGTTTTTCAGAGTAAATTAATGGGGAAAGAAGGGGGGGTTTCACTCACCAGTGGTGCATGTTGGTCCGGTGAAGCCCTCCGGGCAGATGCAGGTACCAGACCGACACGTGCCTCCATTCTGACACGGAGGAATGCAGTCAAACAAGTCTGCAGAGACAAAGAAAAACAGGGTTTTTGCATTAGTGGGGTCCAATTTGAAAATGGACACTTGGCGGTTGTCATTTTCTGGAAATGGGATAGGGACTACATTTAATGGGTTCAATGAATAAAAAAAAAAGGCTCTCTTTGTCTTCTCCAACAATTGGCTGGGAAGGGGCTGGCAAACAGCCTTTGAGCAGCGGGGACGCTCACACCCTTTACAAGCCACTGTTTTGTAATATAAAATTAGAATTACCATCACTGAAATCTTCACATATCTTAGCACTAGATACCACTACATGTAACTGTTTGACAGTGTCCTAATCACTTTTTTCTAAGACTGCTTTTGGTACTTAATCACATTTAAATCCTTTGAGGTTGCCAGGTTGGCGTAGTGGTTCTTTCCTTGCCTTTCACATCTGTGGCCCGGGTTCGATTCCCAGCTTGGTCCACATGTGGATTGGGTTTTCAGTCCCTACCCGATTTTGTGGGTTTTACCCAGAATATTCCTCTGGGGTCTTCCTCCCACGTTTAAAACTGTAACTACTTCTCACTGTCTCCTCTCCACAGGTTTCTTCAGGTTTGCAAGCTACAGCGACAAGGGCACTGTTACAGAAGCCTTGGTTTCATGACAAGAATGACTAAATAATGATAATAATTTCATTATTATGCAGGTATGGAATTCCCATTAAACTTTCTTTACTAAATGATTGATTTCCTTAAAAGACTAAAGATCATTTCCTGTTCAATCCACTTACTATTATCTTTCCAAAAGTTCTCCAATAAACAAGACGATATATCTGCATTTCATATTAGTCACAACAATAAGTTCTAAAATCATAGGAATTGACTTACTTTGCAAAAGATCATTTTTTCACCAGTTTCTTTCTTACCTTCACATGATCTCCGGTCATCACCAAGCTGTGTTCCGTCTGGGCAGACGCACTCGTAACTGCCATACGTGTTCAGGCACTGGTAGGCACAGGGGTTGTCAGTATTACACTCATTGATGTCTGGAATGAAAAACAAATTTTTCATGAAAATTCATCACAGAATAAAAAGAGTTGGAGTGCAAGTTATTATTTTTTCATCTCGTGGGCAGTTTTCCTTTAAGGATTACCTCTGCACTTGGTCTCAAAAAAGTTTCTGCTTGAATTAAAAAGTCATGAAAAACAAAGTGTTGCTGAAGAATTACTAATGCCACAATATAGCGTACATTATCATATTGACTTAAAGTGGTGTAAACTACTTGCTGCCGGGGAACCCCGTTTCGAGCACCATGGGTTTATACGCATAGCCGGGGTGCCTGAAATGGGACAAAGAGCTGATGAATTTTTGAAGAATTTTGAAAACTGAAAATCTTGAAAATTGCCCGTATGTGTGCACTGCATTTTTAAAAGCACTCGGCAGCATTTGGTTAAACTGGTCTCCCTGGGTGATCCATGAAGTAATCCAAATCATCTACCTTGTAGACAAGTGGGGCCGGTGAAACCGGGTGGGCAACGGCACATCCTGTTCACGCACGTGCCATTGTTATTACATGGCGGGCTGCAAGTTACTCCTGAGGGAACCAATCAATCAGTAAATAATCAATTAATCATTAACTTGTCCATCAATCAATGAGCTATTAATTATCAAGACAATGATGAGTCAAATATTGTATGAGTAACTTACATGATCAAATGATCGGTCCTAACATCAATTAACAGACTAATCAATAAAGAGGTTACACTAATTGAACAATAGAACTACTGAGTGATAAGTAAAACACAAACTGAACATTATTTCTTCACATGAAGAAATATAAGACAAAGAAGATGACAGATAAGGTAACATTCACCTTGAAATGAACAACTTCATCAATACATTTTCCAAATCAAGCTGCAAAAATATGAACTTGACTGGTCTAGAAGGCACACACACGCAGCTGCAAAAAGTATTACCCTACTAAGGAAAGTACATGTACCTCCAGTAGAGTGAAAATCAACACAGTTTTGTGCACATTCAAATGAAAATTATTCCCCAATGAAAGTGCAAAACCCAGAGGATTTCAAAGCAGTATCTCCCATTACAAACAGCTACAATGTTACACAGCTCAATGTGCTCCTCCCGCATGGATTCTAGAGATCATTCCACCATTCTAAATGTTAGACCTACATTCATTTTGCATTCTTCTTTTTAAATAAGTACATCTTACCTGAACAAGAGTGCTTGTCTGGACTTAGTGTTGCACCTCGTGGGCAGAAACACACATAGCTGCCGTACGTGTTCCTGCATATGTACTCACAGCCGCCATTGTCGGTTGCACACTCATTGATGTCTACAGAAAAATATATGCATAATTTGATGCTATGACAAAATATATCACTCCCTCCTGGATCCATTCACATCTGTATGGAGTCACACTTCCTAAAGCCAGTTCCTCGAGGTGTTCTTCCAATTTCAAGTTGGTTCCAAGCCATAAACACAAATCTTATGATGAAAGACTGGACGAGCTACCAAAGCGAGTATCTCATTATATCTCACACAATTATGTGTGTAAAAGGCATTGGCACCAGAATGAGCGTGTGAACCCACATGCGCACCTACTCCATTCACTTGTACTAGACTTCCTGGTTCACAATGACGTCACACTTCCGTACTCTATACCCCCAGGAGGTCAGGAGAATGAGAGGAGACTTGATTGACGTGTTAAAAATACTGAATGGTTTGAATGACAACAAGCCGGAAGCCCTGTGTTCCATGTCTCACAACACTGGAACCAGCGGCCACAAATTCAAGCTTTTCAGGAAGATGCTCAACAGGGGATTGAATGTAAGAAAGTACTTCTCTCGAAGAGATGTAAACATGTGGAGAAGACTTCCTGAAGAGGTAAGAATGTGAAGACATTTGACGACTAAAGCTCATAAACTGCACCCATCAATCATAAGTGTGACAGAAAGTTTCCTTTCATGTACTGCTTTGCTATAGAGTTTACTGTTTTGGGGTGAATAACGCCTTCTCCCCTGAACTACTCACCTGTCTGGCAGTTGGGACCACTGAAGCCCTCTGGGCAAACGCACGCCTTGTTGACACATGTGGCTCCATTCATGCAAGGTGGGAAACAGCCAATCTCTGTTAAAATTGATCAAGCAAAGTTCATCTTTTTTAATAGATTAGTGATCTGATCTTTGAATGAACATTTGTCAGTGCAACATTGCATACGTTTAAAATGTAAAAAGTTTTTCTAAAAATTGATCAAACATATTTAACAACTCTATCAGTCTGTTTTTTCTGCATTGCTGCCTTAAGCAAGTAGGCACTTCCATATTTTCTACTATTATCATTATCCTTTGATCTCAATCAATTAAACTCTATATGCAATTTCAGGAAATCAAGATACAAGGCAGTAAACAACTCATATGATTTTGGTATTTTGTTTGTTTGTTTTTTTGCTTAAAAAATGTACTTGCTGTTCTGTGGAATGTATGGCCTGCGCCCACTTGAAAAGGTCCCCACCAAACCGGGGGTAATTCTACACAGAGGTTCTACCACTCACCGCTGCATGTCTCTCCGTCTGCGTTGATTGTGTAGCCTCCTCGGCAGAGACACTGGAAGCTACCAAACGTGTTCTGGCAGTGATGCTCACACCGGTGGTTCAAACACTCATTCTTGTCTGGATGTTAAAAAAATTGTAACATTATGAACATGCCGAAATCACAATGGAGCCTTATTGCTTATTACACACACATGCAGTAACGGATTTCCAAAATGGTAACAAATACAGGACACAATGGGGCTGTTTACACTGAGTGTGGGGAGACTGTGTGATTCCATGATAAATCACTGTGTTTAGAAGTCTAAGCAATTTTCATAGCTATTTTGCTAAGACTACATGGTCTGGCTAATCAGAAGTCACACAGACATCACGGACTGGGTGGAAGACTGTGGAGAGAATGAGAACCAGGGCATATCTTTATCTACAACATATCCACCTATCATGGCTCTAAGCTATGTGATGGCATATGATATCAGCATAATAAATACATGGGGAGCCATGGCAGCTGTGAAGCACATGCAATACAGCCTGTGTTGGTATTTCACACAGTCTAAATGTTTGCAACACGTTGGATCCTGGGGACCAGAGTGACCTAGGACTAACCTGAGGAGCAGGAGGGTCCAGTGAAGCCTGCCGTGCACTGGCAGATGCCGTCCACACACTGACCGCCGTTCATGCAGGGTGGCTGGCAGGAGGTAGGTAAGACTAAAACACAAACACAGCAGGGATTTGAATTAATACGGGTTACTCCACTAAGAGGTTGACTAGGATAAGCCATTTTTCACAGTGTATTGAGGGAAATGATGAAAGTGTTAACATTTCCACAATGCAAGTGGAGAACCTGATTTGTTTCTATTTTTTGTCTCTTTGGGTAGCTTTGAAAGCCTATTTCGAGTATCAATGTTAATTAATCAAGACAGTGTTTTCATGAGGCAGCCAAACACTGTTCCAAAACTTCAAAACTCAAAAGATCTCATACACATACAAATAATACATAAATCTTATGTTTCAGACCATTAACTGGGAAAAATGGCCTCTCTGTGACAGCTGCTGGGTGGTGCACTATATTGTGCATTGCCTGTATTTATTCAATTAAAAATAAAAGCCCCCTGAACACAAACTTTGGCTGATTCACCTGGCCATTGGGCAACCAAAATTACAGACAGGAGAGATGTGTGGTCATACTCAGGACCTATATAACCATACATCAATGACAAGATAAAAATCAAACGTGTTTGAAGTTTTTTCACATTTGATGTCACAGGAAAGATGTGCAGGCTATACTGTAATCCAACTAGGTGTCATTTTTAAGTTCCACTAATCAGATTCAAGGTGTCACATGATTCAAGGTATGTGTACAAGTTCCACAGAACAGATGGCCACCTTATGACTGGTTAGTATGTCACTGCCTACCGGGAGGCTTATCTTTAAATGCAAACAGAACCAGACAGGTGTGCAGATAATGTTTTGGTCTACCACTATGGTAATGAGAACCATGCTGTGGTGAGGTACGCCAGAGAGCCATTCAAATCAGAAAGGTGGGGCCCAATAAACAATTTTTAAAAGTCTGCATCTGCTCCATCTTGGCTCGTAAGCCCAAGCCATCCCCACACCCTAAACCCCTATAGCCTAAAGTGTGTCCTGACTGGACTTCCTAATGAAACAAGGGTCAATTCAGCAGCTCTCAAACCTCTCAAGAAAATTGAGATTGGCAAGAAGCTTTTAGACCACTGTAATACTTAATAATCAGTGATTCCAAACAGTGTAAAAATTGATTTTACAGCTTAAATACACAAACCTGCTGTTTTCAAAATCTGGCATGCCCAACCACAGACAGGCAAGACCACTCTTTCAGTCTAGTTGGGTGGGGTAGGTTGTTTTTGCTGTTGTTTTGAAAACACTGCCTAAATATTTATCCTCCATAAATGCGCCCCCACAAGGAAGGTACTAGTATGGATTCATAAAGTGTAAGGACATTCAAGTCATAAAAATGTTTTCAGGATAACGACACCGGAGCCATTTTGAGACTCAACATACTGAAAGAAATATATATTAGGGCTACGACCAGGCCAGCTGAGTCTCACCATTTTCGCAGTGAGGTCCTGTGAATCCAGCCCGACATGTGCACTCAGTAAATCGACAGTTGTACGTGTTTCCTCCACACTGCCTGGAGTAGCGACATGTACCTCCATTGCGACAGGGAGGGGAACACACAGGTCCATCTGAAATCAAGACAACAAAGTTACATCGCAAATTATGACAAAAATGGAAAATGCGACCATTTTCAAAAAAAAACCCAATCAGGCCTCGGGCAACTTAGCAGGTCAAGGTACCCTTCTTCAACCAAACTGAGAGACAGCATAAATAGCAATGATGGGAAGTCAGGTTGGCGTAGTGTTTCTTTCCTCACCTTGCATCTCTGGGGCCTGGATTCGAATACGTCTTGGTCTACATGTGCATTGGGTTTTCAGTCCCTACCTGAGTCCGTGGGTTTTCCCCAAAACATTTATCCGGGGTTTTCCTCCCACCTCTAAAACTGAACATTTCTTCATTGTCTTCTTCACTCATTATCATCCTGTAATTGATGCAAAATGTGCTGTTGGATGATCAGAAATGAATAAATATATAAAAATGTAGGTTTGAAGGCAGTTACGATGAATTCATTGAAAGTCAACCACAAGGCAAGGATATGTCCTTCAAATGTCAATCAATTTTCAAATCAAGTCAAACATTTCAAACAAACCATGCCAAGATGCATTTCTTTTCAAAGTTCATCCATCATCCCCAGTAAGCTAGTTCCGATGAGCTGAACTAGACAAATATATCCACTGTGGCTTTGTGTACATGTAATCAGACTTTATAGTTTGAATGTGGTGAACCATAACATTTGAAGTTGCTCCAACACAGTGTCCACGTACGTGCCGGTGTTGGAGTTGAGTACTTTTTAAATACCATATTTTACTGTCAAATATTAAAAAATGTCAGGTGTGAACAAAACTGAAGAACACTGACATTGACTGGCAATGGTCTGAAGTCACAAAGGTAAGCTTCGAAAATATCTTTCAGTCCTCCAGACTCTCCTAGTTTGTAAAAATGGGATTTTAATGAGATGTCATAAGAATTTAATCTTTATAGTGGTGATGGCCTGAAATCATTATTTTATTTTGTAATATCACCTCTGCGCATTCATCATCCATGCAATGCTCATGTTTTTCAGCTTTCCTCCCTCCTAACCAAAGCAACAGTTGGCACTGAACGTAACACTTGTAAAATGTATCAAAACGCTATATTTAGACATGGTGGTTTGTCTGTGCATCTCTCTCTGTCAGTTTGCTTGTCGGTCTGTTCTTACCTTGTGCACAGGTGTACCCATCGGGCTGTATCAGATAGCCGGGCCTGCAGGTGCAGGAGTAACTGCCGACGGTGTTGATGCAATTGTGCGAGCACACTGCTCTGTTCGGAGAGCAGCGTGTGGTGCCGCAGTGGTTGGGCGGTGATGAACACTCGTCAACATCTGCAAAACAGAGAATTTTTGTTTCAAGTCAGTAAGGAATTTAGTTGTGTTTACAGGCCGCACTGTCTTTCACGAGGGGTAAAAGCCACAAAGGGTGGGACAACTCCAAGAAGGCAGTTACTGTGAACAACAGAAAATTTCTGGGTTTTGGACAGGACTTCATACTGTGTAGTACAGTACCGTCCCATTATAGCATTCTTTACTGAGCGATGGACCTTATTTAAGCATTACATCCATACAGCCCTACGACCATTGAATGCATCTGCATTATGTGCATCATTTTCACACTGTGCACCACACATCCATGGCATGAAAGCTCCAGGAACCAATGACGTCTGCTACATGACGCACATGCTGAAGTTTGATAACCCAAATACCATGAAACATCTAAACTATAATAACATCTACATTGTTTCCTTTATTTGCATATATATTCATTTATATCCATGTATTTCCTGGCATGTCTCAGTGCAGACCAACGAAACAGAATTTTCCACTGGACTATCGCCAGGCTTATGCAGCATTGGCTGGTCCATGCGGGCACGGCACACTGAAACCAAAACTTCTTGGAGTGTGGTACCAGAACCTGTTTCCCATGTTCCACTCGTATTTATATTTTGAGTGTTGTCTCCATAGGAACACTGTAAACAAAGTCAACCATTTATGATTCGTCAGTTGTACCTAAAAAGTGACAAATATGACAGTTTTGGTGCACTACAAAGTGAAGAACCATCCATACAAACAATTGTAAACAAAGTTAGGATGGTTCATGGTGCATGCACTTTCCATAATATTCAGTTGGGAATGCAACTGATGAATTCATTCCAACAGAGTTGGGGATATCAAAAGAGGTTTACATTTAGACGACCACTGCATTGGGATGCACTCTAACAGGAATCTACTGTATTTGCGGCGAGTCGGGTTGGCGAGTAGTTCTTTCCTCGCCTTTCACCTCTGCGGCCCAGTTTGATTCCCCACGCGGTCCACATGTGGACTGGATTTTCAATCCCTACCTGATTCCTTGGGTTTTATCCAGAAATATCTTCTCTGGGTTTTCATCCCACCTCTAAAACTGTAACTACTATACTTGTCTCCTCTCTGTAGGTAAAGGTGGATGTGAGTGGTTTAGCGGCTGCTTCAGGTGACCTTGTATGCCATTGGCTCCACCACCTTTAAGGTCTTCATTGTACAGTGCATTTAAACATATCTGTATGAAATTGGCGCTTTATAAATGAATAAAATATTAATTATTACTCTGTAGTTCAGTGTGCTGCTTCGAACAATGACTAAACACCACATGCGTCGCATCACTTGTCAGACAGCCTTTACGACAAACCAGCAAGATACTGTAGCATCGAGATGGGACCCTAGGTCCAATCACCTGCGGATGGCACAAACTGTCCCTGGCTAGGCACAGGAAGGGACGCTTCCAGGAAGGAACATTCGTCTTCCGCTCAATTTCACACCGTCTGACTTCCAGACGGGAGAGCGAATGGGCTACATGGGTAACTTCCTCTGATAAGCCAAGCCATGTTTCCTGGAGCCTGCGGCTAAGGATGCGTGATTAGGAACAGGTGTCATCCAGGCAGAACCGATCTAGCCTTAACGTCACACCAGCCGGACCGTGAGAGCTTTATTTCTTTCTGGAGCAATTTTTTTACACAAATTGTATGATGGTTCAGCAATTCTTCACGGTCTGACAACTTGAAGCCCTAGAGAAAGACAGTGGGAGTGTGCTTCTCTATATCACCTCAGAAGCTGGCACCTGTATCATATTGGTCAGATATCTTAAGTACCTGGATAACTGTTAAAACCTCAGACCAGATGCAAAGAACTATACAAATCGTATGATATTGGGTGAAAAAATATCAAAAAGTACTTTAAGAACAACTCTTTCATTGTACAAGTTCAATATAAAAGTACAGAAACTGGTGTCGAAACGAAAGGACCAAAAACAATTCTCGCTGAACTAAAAAATTACTTCTTAAGATGTTTCCAGCAGGGAAATGTGGCCCAGCGATTGGGGGAAAGAGTTCCACACATGGATATCTCTTGACACACTGTGCACAAAGCACATGAGACCGGTCTGAAATTTTTTTTCTTGAAGTTAGTGCTTCAAACATTCCACTGCTAACTTTCACTCTTTAGGACATGCTATTGCTTTGTGGTGGTTGATTAATCACTCCAGGGGAAAATTAGTGAAGTATGGTACTTTTTCCTGAATGGGATAGCCAACTCATGATCAGAGGGTCAGGGATTCAAATCCAGCTGCTGGCCACAAGTTCTGGCCTTGGGCAAGTCACTTCACCAATGTTTGCCTCTCTCAGCCCAGGAAGTGTAAAAGTCTAGGAGCATTAACCAGGCAGCAACCTGCGATGGACTGGGACCCCATCCAGGAGTTGTTTAACCACTTCATGCCGGGGTATTTTTCAATGTTGATGATGCTGGGCCGGCATGACTATCCTTTTTTCGGTTTTCAAAATCCTTCAAAAAATCATTATTTCATTTAACGATCATTTATAGCCGCACC